TGCATGGCCCTAACATATCTAATGCTCCCGTTTGTTATCCGCCTCGTTTTTCTAGCACCAACAGCAAACTCTAACACCCATGGATGTCTCTACAGTGAATAAAATTTTCGGACGTTCAGTTTCCAAATACAAACTGCGCAGTACTACAGCGTTCTACGCTGCTATGACTGCGCCTGGATTCGCTCGATCATCCGTAGTACAGTCCGGCGCAGCGCAAACAAATTCTCGCTGACGAGCGCTATGCATAAGCAGCGGTGGGCTCGCATTCCTCGGAAACAGGGTTTTAATTCCCGTTCTGCAATCTGGCTGGTCATGAGGACAAGACCAAATCTCGCCTCACTGATAGTTGGGTGCCCCCGTCCTTCTAGGCGGAGATCCCACAAAAAAACGGGTTAAATACAAGACTGCGTTTAACTTTCTAGCTACAGCAGCAACTGTAACGAGGCCGCACAACACGGATGCAGACCCCTGCTGCACGAAAAGTAGTGTCACCTGGCGGAACGCACAATAAAATCAGTTCATAGACTATAAAAGGAACAATGCAATCATCACCAGGTCATCCTCTGGTATGCCTTGGCTTAGCAACCGCCGCATAAGCTCCCTCTTAGTCTTCAGCCTGTCCTGGGCATTGTCCGCATTTCCCTTCGCTTGTTGTTTCGCAGCCGCCGCTACTTCTTCGTTCGTCCAATTATCTGCAATTCGATTCAGCTTTCGTATGAATGCGTAACTCGTATTGGCATCGGATTCACGGCATATCTGCGCAGCTGCTTGGGCAAAAGCTCCTGTTCGAAATAACTTTCCAGTGTAGGGGATCTGGTGTTCGGCGGGGGCATGAGCGGGGTTGATGGCGCCGTCTCCTTCAAATGGTTGAAGAAATTCCATGAAATAATATCGGGCTCTCAAGTTGGCGTCGTTCAACGTCTTCTCCATATCCAACGACAATCTGAGTTTCTTAGCTAATGTTCGATTTACTCGTCGTGCGTCAGCCCCAAACAGCCCGAAGCATTTCAAAAAGGTAGAAGCTGTCCAGTCGTATTCTGACACTTCTTCAAAATCTATAGGAGCATCAGTGTCACTATAATCCTCGTCGAGGCCAGGAATAGGAAGAGGGTTGGGCGCGCCTAATACTTTGTACGTAGTGTTGAACAATTCCAAATCATGGAGGCGAAGAGCCGCTGTGCGGCATATACTGCGTAATAACTGCAAGTGTTGGGCGAAGTCCCGCCGCGCCTGCGGGGAAGAAGCAGATGGAACGTCGCATTCTCGCATCTTGGCAACGTGGTCTCTGATAATCTCCAGAGGGTCCCTCGGCAGACTTTGACCATCCTCAAGCGACGGTGTGAAGTGTCTTTGAAACCCTTGCCGCGTGGCCGCTCCTGAGGATAAAGCCTCTTCCATCTCCGCCGCTGCTTCATTGAAGTCGTTTATGTACTTCTGCATGCTCGCATCGTCCAGTGGTAGCCGTGAGGCATCGTCTACTCGCAGCTGTGAAATCTTCAGGTACGATGGGAACCTTCCTGACATGATGTAACGAAACCCACACACCACTATCACTGCAACAGCAGCAATTGCAGCCGTAGTCGCTCGAGCCCTTTTCCCGCGGTACCTCCACGAAGGAGAAGCTCCACCTGCTGTGGCAGCGATGCCACTGTTGTTTGCGTTCTCTGGGGCGGGATCTGTTCCTTCCCCTGCGACCTCAAGCGGGTCCGAAGCTTTTGGCGACAACTCGTCTGCAATGCGCCTCATATTTCCCATTATGGAAACTGAATTGACGGACCCAAAGAGTCTAGTTGCCTTCAAGCGCACCGCTATGTAAAACTTCAATGAAACAGCGCAGAGCGGCCGCTTAAAGCAACACAGAGGACCGGGAGATGGTTCTGGTTGGCAGGACGACGGTGACGTTTGAGTAAATTTGTGTTGAGATGAATTATTCGGGAAAACTAAGGTAGGAATACTTTCGTGCAACCACTGCGTAGATGCTACCCGAAATCCAGGGTAGAATGCCTGTTGCAGGGTCAGGCACTACATTGACGCCAGCGAACTGCCTTAGGAAACAGAAAAAAAGGGAAATAACCTATGCAAAAATTGAATGAGGCTCTGTAAGCAGAAAAGATGAGTGTCTAATGGTGGCTACAGCTTGCGGGCTCAGCTGCCAGGCCTTCGTTTCGGAGTGGCATGGCATCGACTGTAGCGAACAGCTGGCGTATGATCACGAAGCTATTCTGACTTGATTCACGTCTGCAACTAGCTACCAAAATCTATGATTCTCGCTAAAACCACTATTAAACACAATTAACAACCAAAGCACATTCTAGTTGTTATTATTGTTAGGAAAGAAAAAACCACAATAATAGTATCGACCCTCGTTGGGGGTCAGTGCCAGAATCACAGCATCAGCCTCACCCCCAGCCCCAAGGTGGTGTCGGCTGGAGAGCACTCCGATCCTATTATGCTTTTTTTCTATCTAAGAGTATCCTTATCCCTGAAATATCCTATAGTATTTATTCATTTTCATGATACTAGGCCTATAGAGGCCACGCAAGCGATCCATTGTAGTGCCTGTGCATTACATCGACCCTGCAACCGGCAGAGCGCCTGGGAAAACCCAGCGGTGCGAGTAGGAATCACCTTCTCCTTTCTGGCACAGAACAAAACACTCGCGTACCGTAGAAATGCACACCAGGTATTTCGGTGCTGGGGTTGCAGGCCTTAACTGCGTTGTTCAGCGCGTAGTTTGGAAAACCATCGTTTGTTTGGCGTTCGCAGAGGCCCATTTCGTTGCTGCGTTAGACCACTGCCGTGCATGAAATTGCATGAAATTTGCACACAAATCAAACTACAGATCCGTCAACGGCATCTCTTACCTTACCGGAATCAATCAAACTGAAGGCCTTCCAATGCAAATATACGGTTTCAAGGTGACTTTGTAACGCTAGTTCTCTGGCCTTGACCTGACCTGAGACGAGCCGCAATGAAGGCAAAGACTTAAAGTAAGNGGTGTCGCCGGGGAGGAGGCAGCCCGAAATGGGGTTGCAGCGCACCCCGCTGCGGCTGGCAGAGCTAGCCGGCCCCAAGCGTGCACTAAAGGAAGCTTCAGAGAAGCTTCCTTCGCTGCATGCTTTGCCTCATAACGAACTTGTATATCGTTTGCAGGCGCTTACGCGCAGCATGCCAAAGCTGTCGATAGGCTCCTGAGCTAACTCTGCGCTAACTCATGTTACAGACTTCATGAAATGGTTGAAACCTAGTGGCATTTGTTTGCCATCTGGACTCCTTCACCAGGTATCCCGTTGTTCTTTCCGTGAAGCATTGTCATAAGGAAGGTCGTGTTCCTGATCACGTCGCCCCTGCTGTCCATAGCTCCGAAAGAGAAGCCCCACACCAACGTATTGTATGTTTTGTACCTGTCAGCTACGTTTACGAAACCATGATCAAAACTGCAGAGTGCTCCACCGTTCCACGCTCATGTCTAGAGGTGCATTTGCTGGGTCATGTGGAGGGCACTCCGGCGCGGCGCAAACGGAAACTCACTGAGAAGGGGTACGCCTAACAAGTTCAGGGTTGGCTTCCCTATGAAACGGACTTTCATTTCCATTCCGCATTCCCACTACTCATAAAGCCAAAAAGAGAAGTCGCGTTGCAGTGATTGTTGGGTGCTCGCCTTCTGTTGCGCACACGCCCCACACAAAACGGAATACTTGCAAGATTGCTGCCAAGCTTGTGACTGCAACAGCAACGGTAAAAAGCTCGTATACGGCTTTGCGCCATGCGACGCCACTTTTACCGCTGTCACGATAAAAGCGGCGTCGCACGGTGCAATGCACAGAAATGCAGCAAACACACTATAAAAGGAATATGGCACTAAACACCAGATCGTCCTTTGGTATGCCTTCATCTAGCAGCCGTCGCAT